GAGAGTTGGGATTGTTCAGCCTGGAGAAGAGAAGGCTCCGGGGGGACCTTATAGCGGCCTTCCGGTACTTAAAGGGGGCCTGCAGGAAAGGTGGGGAGGGACTCTTGATCAGGGAGTGTGGTGATAGGACGAGGGGTTACGGTTTCAAACTGAAAGAGGGGAGACTTAGATTAGATATTAGGAAGAAGTTCTTTTCTGTGAGGGCGGTGAGGCACTGGAAGAGGTTGCCCAGAGAAGCTGTGGCTGGCCACCCCCCCGCAAAAAGGCTGGATGGGGCTTGGAGCAACCTGGTCTGGTGGGAGGTGTCCCTGCCCATGGCAGGGGGGGTGGAATGAGATGGTCTTTAAGGTCCCTCCCAATCCAAACCATTCTGTGATTCTATGACATTTAGCATGATCTGATGCATTCTTTGGGTTTCTATAGGTTATATCTAAAAATATTTCAGTGAGCTCAATGGATAAATTATCTCTCTTAAGAGGAGTGGGTAATGCTCAGAGAGAGCGCATGGTGGAAAGATGTATCCCACAGCCCAAATTCTCCACTTTTCTGAAGATATTCCATTGTTCTTTGTAAATTTGGAGATGGTGGAGACCCACAATAGGCAAGAGAATCACCCCATATTTTCTTTCAGCTTAATGGCAATATTACAACAAAGGGCTTTTGTGTATCTCCAAGGGCCCTACTGAAGGCATCTTTGCATTACAAGTAATCCAAAATATAAGGAATCTCTGCAAAGGAGGAAGATTTTTGAAAATAACTCTGTTAGCTTTTGCAACTTCCAAAGTATTTCCTGAGAGATAAAGGGTTTATTCTTTGTGTAGCTCACCATCACAGCAACACACCAAATTAAAAAAAAAAAAAACAAAAAACAAAAAAAAAACAATTCTGTGTTTCAGTCCTTTCAATGATTCAACTCTGATCACCTCAACCATTTTGCTTCATAATGTCATCCTGCAGGTGCATACATTCAGACTCTGGACCTGTTTTTCAGATCCATGCTCTTCTTTGATCCTCTTTCTTTCCCCCACATCTTCTACCCTCGCAAAGTCCTATCCCTCAACTGCCATATCTGCAACTTTTGTTTCACATTCTTCTTTATCTTCCTTACTGAAATTCAGACTCTTCTGAGCCATTCATAGAAAAGACAAGCTAAAGACCTCTCCCCAGACTTTTGGTGAAAAGAACCGCTTGCTAAGTTGTGACCCCCTCCCTGGTAACAGTGCCTTGACAGTAGTAATAATTCAAAAAGATACAACTCAGAGTCATCAAGCTAGTGCAATTAAGTTTTACCTATGCTTTAACTCACTTCTTCCTTGCAAGGCAGCTCCCTCCTCCTAAAAATTAAAGCCAACCTTTTTCCAAGTCTTAATCAGTGCAGATAGAAAAGTAATTTGATTAAGATGTATATAATGTATATATAATGCACATTTTTCTGTAGATAATCAGTAGCTTAAGTAAAGGTGCATTGCAGGTGATTTTGACACTTCATGGACAGACAATTGCAACATATATTTCACTGCTGCATATCACTCACCAAAGTCACACAGAAACTAAATATCAAGAACTGAATTGATAGGAGTGTTTCTGCATTGCAAGGAGCAGAAGAGGATAGCAACTATTTCTGGGGATAACATTTCCCAGAATGCCAAGAATTAGAATTTTGTTTGGATTTTGATGGATGGAGCCCAAATGCTATCCAGCTAAACTAAATTTGAAAGAGAATTTTCTTTGGTTGGCTGCAAGACAGTAGAGAATTAAAGGTTCTCCACTCTTCAGGTACTGAAAAAAAAAAAACACCAAAAACAAAAACAAAAACAAACAAAAAAAACCCAAACCACAAAAAGGAACTTAGAGTTAAAACTAATGAGAATGCATCCAAGTATTTTATTCTAATGTTTTATGACTATTGAGTCCTCACATGTTATGTAGAAAAAGCAGTATTGTGCCTTTTGACACATATGGAAATTTGAAATGCAGAAGCACTGAGTCTTCAATTAAAATCTATTTTACTTAGTTCAAACTCATATTGTTAATATTGTCTAGGAATTCTTCTTGCAAATATCATCTCCAAAACAGAAATATCCAAATAATTTCATTGAGTTGTGAAGCAGTGGTGATATTACAGATTTCTGATTTATCACAACTGTTAGCCACGGTTAAGGGCTGGGAAAATAAGCACAGTGTGAAGGTTCAGTAATAGGATTTTCATTGTGATGCATGATTAGATGCTTAGATACTGGAGACCAAATCAATCTAGCAGTAATGCTAGCAGAACAGCTACAGCTTGGATGAGTCTGACCTTTGAAGTTAAACATTAGCTAACAGGTGGACTGGTATTTCTGGTATGTTCCACAACATGGATTAAATATTTGATTTAAGCATTTAAATGTCTGTATCCTTCATTTAAGAAAACAACATACGAAATTCAGGGAGTACATACAAAAATAAATCACATTTGAGTCAGTTTGTGCACATTTACACTATACAGGTCTTGTATTAGAACGGCCATAATCTGTCAGACCAAAGATCCATCCAGTCAAGTAGCCATCTCCATGTGCAGCCATAAGAAGGTGCATAGGAGAGATTTCAAATGGGACAAGAACATGTGATACTTACTGCTGTAACTTTCTTTGCCTCCCAACTATTTTCAGCACAGGGCCTTCTGTAGCCAGGTGTGGTGCCTGTGTACATGATCACTGCAGTAGAGTTCTCCTCATTGAACTTATCCAGTCCTGCCTTGAATTTGTGAAAACTTTTCACACCCCCACCATCCTTTGCTAAGGATCAACAAGTCAGCTGTGACCCTACTGGTTTTATTTGAGATGTCTTGCTCTTATCTTGGGAGAAGCAGTGAAAAACTGATCTTTACCCACCATCTCCATGTTATTTGTGCTGTTATAGGCCACCACCATGTCCTGCCTCAACCATCTCTTTTCCCACCTAGAGTCCTACCTTCCCTAGTCCCAGCTTAGTTAAAGGGAAGCCCTTTCCATATCTTGTCACTCTTGTTGCTCTTCCCTGAACTCCAGTCCTGTGGTATCCTTTCTGAAATGGTGGGATCTAAACTGCACACAACAGGCAAACGTTAGCAAAGAAGTGATTTATGCAGTAGCTCAACAGCACTGTCTCTTTTTTCCATCATTTTCATATTACATCTTAACAATTTAATTACTTTTCAACTGTTGCTAAGCAATGAGCTGATGTTTTCATGCAACTGTCTATCACAAGGTAAAGGTCTCATTCCTGGAAAGGATGCGGTGGTCATGTCTGGCCCAGAGTCCACCATTTCTTATGTGAAGATTTTTCTCCTGTGTGCCCCTAACTTTCCCTTTTCTTCCTTCTCCCATGGATGGCAAAGTCCTGGTCACCTATGAAAACATCACAGTTTCTACAGATTCACTGACAGGAGACTGAACTTCAAAGAAAAAAAGTGGACTAGAGGACTATATCCTTTATAGAAATGTGAAAAGTAGGACACAAAATCTTCTGTTCAGATGCAATTTTGTGGGTTTTTAAAAATTTAGTATTAGTCAAAGAACACTCTCACTTGAATTTTCAGCA